GAGGTAATAATCTTATTGTGCTTTTGATTTGCATTTCCATGATGGTTCGTGATGTCGATCATCTTTTCAGGTCTATTGGTCGTCTGCATGTCTTCTCTGGAGAATATCTCTTCATATCTTCTGCCCATTTTTTATTGTGTTCTTTATCTTTTTTGTTATTGAGTTGTATGAGTTCTTAGTATATTTTGGGTCTCAAGTACTTATTGGAGATGTCATTTGTGCATATCTTCTCCCATTTAGTAGGTTGTCTTTTTGTTTTATGAAGGTTTCCTTTGCTGTGCAGAACCTTTTCTGGTTTACAAAAATTCCAGTTGTTTCCTTTTTTCCATTGTTTACCTATCTTGAGGGGACATATACAAAAATATATTACTAAGAGTGATGTCAAATATACCACCTATGTTTTATTCTAGAAGTTTTATGACTTCTGGTCTTACATTTAAGTATCTAATCCATTTTGAGTTTATATTTGTAGATGATATAAGAGAGGTGTCCAGTCCTTTTCTTTTTTTGCATGTATCTGTCCAGTGTCCCAAAACCACTTGTTGAAGGTACTGCCATTGCTCCATTGTATATTCTTGCCTCCTTTGTCTCAGGTTAGTTTCCCATATAAGCAAGGGTTTATTTTGTGGCTATTCTGTTCTATTGATGTATGTGTTTGTTTTTGTGCCAGTACCATATTGTTTTGATTATTATAGCTTTGTAGTATAGTTTGAAATCAAGGAATGTAATATTTCCAATTATGTTCTTCTTTCTCAAGATTGCTTTGGCTGTGGTTGAATATAAACATTAGGATTATTTTTTCCAGTAATGAGAAGAATATCATATGTATTTTTATAAGGATTACATTGAATCTAGATCGTTTTGGTTGTATGGTCCTTTTAACAGTATATCCTTCCATTTATTTGTGTCCTCTTTTTTTTCTTTCTTCAATGTCATAGTTTTCAAATCATCTCCTTTGTTAAATTTATTCCTAGGTATTTTATTCTTTTTGGTACTATTGTAAATGGGATTATTTTATCAATTTCTCCTCTGATCATTTGTTATCAGTGTACAGAAATGTGATGGGTCTGCATATTTTTTGTCTCCCGCAACATACTTGAATTCACTTATTAATTCTATTAATTTTTGGTGGATTCATTAGGGTTTTCTATATATAGTGTAATGTCATCTGCAAATAATGACAGTTTTACTTCTTCCTTTGCAGTTTGGATGACTTTTCTTTTTTTTTTTTTTTTTGCCTGATTTCTGTGGCTAGGACTTGTATTAGTCACAGAAACTGGGGTTCCTGGGTGGTGCAGGCCAGGGTCAGCCCCCATCTGTGTTTCTCCCAGGGCACCCTGCCTGAGGTATAAAGCAATCTGAGATAGCTGCTACTTGTGCTGGGCTCCAGGATTACCAGGAGAAGCCAAGCTGTGAATTTAGGGTTGCTGCTGCTAGTGCTGGCCTGGGGCTCACTGAGGCCAGCTGTTGCTTTTTTGAGAGGATTAGAAAGTTGTGCAGAATGAGCCAATACCAGCGATTCATATGAAAAAACAGCTTGGGTGGGCCCGTAAATTGGGTGAGGCAGAGTCTCTGGGGACCTACAAGGCAGATCAAACAGTGTTAGCCAGGTTGATGGAGTTTCAGATATGGCACCAACTTGCAGGCTCTGTGGCTCTCTGGGAGGAGGGTTTAGAAAAGTGACAATGGCTTCTGCTTGCCTTGATTTCTCCCAGTGTGCTACTGATTTCTCCCACTATGCTACTGGTGCCTTTCAAGCTGCTACACCAGTGCTGGAGTTCAGAGGGAGTGAGTCTGAGTCTGTGAGTCCATGCATAGGTTCTTTAAGAGAAACTGGGGCTCCAGCAGTTTCTTCCACTGACTCAATCCCTGCTGATTTGTGCAGCCAAAAGTTATGGGGACTTATCTTCCTGGCACTGAAATCCTGGGCTGAGGGGCTTGGTGTGGGGCTGGAACTCCTCGCTCCCACAATATCCCTCCTGAATTTTTATCCACCACACATGGTGGTGGGACCAGCCTGTTTTGCATCTGCACCCCTCCTACTAGTTTGGATGGATGTGGTTTCTTTAATTCCGTAGTTGTCAGACTTCTGTTCAACTTGATTTCTGATGGTTCTGAGTGATGGTTGTTCTGTATTGTAGTTGTAATTTTGTTGTGGTTTTGTGAAGAGGTGAGCCATGTCTGCACATGCTGCCAGCTTGACCAGATGTTCCATTGCTTTTTAGTCTATTTTGTTTATTTCCTCTCTGAATTTTATTATTTCCTTCCTTCTATGTACTTTGGTTTTTTTTTTCTTTTACTAGTTTCCTCAGGTAAAAATTCACATTGTTCATTTGGGATTTTTCCTGTTTCTTGAGGTAGGCCTGTATAGCTATAAACTTTCTTCTTATAACTACTTTTGCTGCACCCATAAGTTTTGTAAGGCTGTGTTTTCATTTTCATTTGACTCAAGGTAGTTTTGATTTCCTGTTTCATTTCCTCTGTGATTCATTGTTTGTTTAGCCCCATGTTGTTTAATGTTCACATACTTGTGGTTTTTGCCTTTCAAAAAAATGCTTATCTGAGGATATATTTATTGATTTCAGAGAGCAGGGGTGGGTGGAGGGAGAGAGAGGGAGAAAAAGAGAGGGAGAGGGAGAGAGAGAGAGAAACATCTATGTGAGAGAAACAGCAACTGGTTTCTGAATTTATTTCAATTCAGAAATAAATCAATCACCTACCGGTGACTGAATCTGCAACCTACATATGTGCCCTGACAGGGAATTGAATCCACGACCTTTTGGTTTATAGGATGATGCTCCAAGCAATTGAGCCACACTGGCTAGGGCATCCACAATTTTTTAAAATTTAGTTTTCCTCCTGTAGTTAATTTCTAGTTTCATGCTATTGTGGTCAGAAAATATGCTCAATAAAATTTCAGTCTTCTTCAGTTTATGGAGACTTTTTTGTGGCCTAATATGTGGTCTATCTTGGAAAATATTCCATGTATACTTGAGAAAAATGTGTAATATGCAGTTTAGGTATGAAATTTTTTATGAATGTCTTAAATCAATCTGGCCTAATGTGGCATTTAAGACCATTATTCACTTATTAATTTTCTGCTTGAATGATATATCCATTGTAGTAAGCAGGGTATTAAAGTCCTCAACTACTACTGTATTACTCTTTTATTTTCTGTCTTTATGTCTATTAATATTAGCTTTATATACTTGGGTGCTTCTATGTTGGGTCCATAGATATTTACAATTGTTATATACTCTTCTTGAATTGACCCCTTTATCATTATGGAAAGTCATTCTTTGTCTCATTTTATATTATTCGTTTAAAGAGTATTTCATCTGGTATGAATATTGCTCCCCCAACTTTCTTTTTCTTTCTATTTCCATGGAATATCTTTTTCCATCCCTTCACTTTTAGTTTGTTTGTGTATTTTGATCTAAAGTGAGTTTTTTTAGGCAGCATATAGGTAAGTCTTATATTTTTATCCATTCTGCCACCCTGTGTCTATTCATTGGAGTATTTGGTTCATTTACATTTAAAGTAATTATTTACAGGTATGTGATTATTGCCATTTTAAATTTTTTTGTTTTTCTTTTCTCTTGATATCTTCCTTTGTGGTTTGTTAGTTTTATTTAGAGTTTTTTTAAGGAGTTCCTATCTTTATTTTATTTTGTAATTTTAAAGATTTTTTTATTTTAAAGTATATTTTAATTGATTATGCTATTACAGTTCTCTCATTTTTTCCTCCTCTTTATTCCCCTCCACCCTGTACCCCTGCCTCCCACCAGCATTACCCTCACTTAGTTCATGTTGTACATATAAGTTTTTTGGCTTCTCAATGTCCTGTACTGTTCTTACCTTCCCCTAGTCTATTTTGTACCTACCATATATGTTTCTTATTCCCTGTACCTTTTCCCCCATTTTCCCCTCGCCCCTTCCCTGCTGCTAACCCTCTATGTGATCTCCATTTCTGTGATTCTGTTCCTGTTCTAGTTGTTTGCTTAGTTTGTTTTTGTTTTAGGTTCAGTTGCTGGTAGTTGTGAGTTTGTTGTCATTTTACTGTTCATAGTTTTGATCATCTTCTTTTTCTTAAATAAATCCCTTTAACATTTCAAATAATAAGGGCTTGGCACCAAGAAGTTAAAGAAAAAACATTTATTCAGACTGGTAGGAGGGGTGGAGAGGAAGCATGGCAGGCAGCTCCTAGAGAACCGGGTCCTCCAGGTGGGTGAGGTGGTGGCTGATAAACCAGGAGGAACAACTGGAGAGGGAGACAGATCGAGCAACCCAGGGTTCCAGTGAGGGAAAAGAAAGCCTGGCTGTAAAAACCTGTGGGGGTTTTGGCAGCAGGAGAAACTCCAAGCCTCACAGGAGTTACTTATTTATTTTTAGACAGAGGGGAAGGGAGGGAGAAAGAGAGGTAGAGGAACATTAATGTGTGGTTGCCTCTCACATGGCCCCATTGGGGACCTGGCTCACAACCCAGGCATGTGCCCTGACTGAGAATTGAACTGGCAACCCTTTGGTTTGCAGGTTGGCGCTCACTCCACTGAGCCACACCAGCTAGGGCCCTATTTTTATTTTTGATGTGCTTATTGTAGTTTTTGTTTGGTGGTTACCATGAGGTTCATATGTATCAATCTATATTTATAAGCATTTAAGTTCGGGCCCATTTTAATAGAACTGCATTTTTACTCCCACTCCCTACTTTATGTTTTTGATATCATATTTTAGATCATTTTGTTTTCTGTATCCCCTAACTACTTATTTTAGCTGTAATCTGAGTTCAAATATATTTTTTTTTCATTTCCTGATTATATTACCTGAAGCAAACTATTGAACTTCTGAGTGCAATTTTCATCTCTATAAATGAAGATAATAAACACCTGTAACACTTGGCTCATAAGGTGTTTTGAAGGTCAAGTGACATAAGTAAAGTAAAAGAACTATGTGCATGTAACAATATATTGAAATAAATCTTGCAATTTTGGTTTTGGCAGAACTCCCAAATCAGTATATATCAACTCCTCCAAGCTTCCATATTCAGCCATAACACCATCACACTTGACCTGCAAAAAGGTGAATGAAAGCTAGTTTTGTGACTATTACCCTCAACCATAAAGACTGTATATAAGGGTACACAAGGATAATAGATGCAGACATTTTTCTACAACTGGACTATATGTACCCCATGCCCTCTAATAAAGGTGAGAATTAATGTTTTTTTAAATATAGGTAATATTGGTTTATAACATTATATAAGTTTCATGTGTGCAATATTATAACTCAACATCTACATTTACTACATAGTGCTATCAAAAGTATTGTTTTCAATTTTCACCATAAAATTGACCTTTTTTATCCTTTTCACCTCTGCTAAAGAATGATGTGTCGTTTGCCTGTATGAGTTTGTTTTTTTTATATTCTACATATGAGTGCAGTCATACAGTTATTTATTTTTTCTCTCTGGCTTATGTCACTTAACATTATATTCTCAAGAACAATCCATGTTTTCACAAATGGCAGGATATTACCCTTTCCCATGGTTGAATAATGTGTGTGCATATGCCACATTTTAATTTATTTATTTTCATACCTTGACTATTGTAAATAATGCTGCAGTGAACATAGAGGTGCATATATATTTTCGTATTATTGGATAAATACCCAGAAGTGAAATAGCTGGATCATATGGTAGTTTTAGTCTTACTATTATTTTTTCACCTATCTTCCTATAGATTTTTTTAGTGGCTGTACTAATTTACATTCCCCCAACAGTATACAAAATTTCATATTTCCCTGCATCCTCCCTTGTTTCTTGTCTTTTTGATGATAGTCATTCTAACAGGTGAGGTGATATCTCACTGTGGTTTGAATTTACATTTTCCAAATAATTAGTACTGTTGAACACCTTTTCATTGTGCTTGTTGGCCACTTGTATGTTTTTTATAGAAAAATTTCTATTCATCTGCCCAATTTAATTAATTTTTAATTTTAATTAATATTTTAATATAGTCGTCTCTATTTTCCCACCACCACATATCCCTGCCAAACTAATCTCCACCTCCCCCCTTTTGGTTCTGTCCATGGGTCCTTTATATATGTTCCTTGACAACACTTTCCCTTCTTTCCCCAGTTATTTCCCTCCCCCCTTCCCTCTGGTTACTGTCAGTTTCTTCTTTATTTCAATGTCTTTGGTTATATTTTGCTTGCCTTGTATGCTTTGTTAATTAGGTTCCACTTATAGGTGATACCATATGGTATTTGTCTTTTACCACCTGGCTTACTTCACTTAGCATAGTGCTCTTCAGTTCCATCCATGCTCTTATGAATGATAGAAATTCCTTCTTTCTTTCTGTTGTGTAGTATTTCATTGTGTAAATGTACCGGTTTTTTTGATACACTCATTTACTGATGGGCACTTAGGTTGCCTCCAGCACTTGGCTATTGTAAATTGTGCTGCTACGAACACTGGGGTGCACAGGTTCTTTTGAATTGGTGTTTCTTAGTGTATAGTCCTAGTAGTGGGATTGCTGGGTCAAAAGGCAGATCCATTTTTAGTTTTGTTAGGGAATTCCATACTGTTTTCCACAGTGGCTGCACCAGTCTGCATTCCCACCTACAGTGCACTAGGGTTCCCTTTTCTCCACAATCTCACCAGCACTTGTTGTTTGTTGATTTGTTTATGATGGCCATTCTGACTGGTGTGAAGTAGTATCTCATTGTGGTTTTAATTTGCATTTCTCTGATGGCTAGTGATGCTGAGCATGTTTTTACGTCTGTGGGCCCTCTGTATGTCCTCCTTGGTGAAGTGTCTATTGAGGTTCTTTGCCTTTATTTATTTATTTATTTATTTATTTAGAAGGGAATGGAGGGAGCAGGAAAAGGAGAGAAATATGTGCAAGAGAAACACTGATTGGTTGGTTCCCAACTGCAATCCATATCTGGCCCACAATCCAGGCATGTGTCTTGACTGGGAATCAAACCAGCAACCCTTTGGTTCACAGACCTGCACTGAATCCACTGAGCCACACCAGCCAAGGCCATCTGCCCATTTTCAATACACCTGTTTGGGGTTTTGTTGTTGTTGTTGAGATGTATGATTTCTTTATATATTTTGGATATTAACCTCCATTGGATGTATGGTTTGCAAATAATTTTTTTTATTTGGTAGGTGGCCTTTTCATGTTGTTAACTGTCTCTTTTGCTGAGCAGAATCTTTTTAGTTTGATGTAGTCCTACTTCATTATTTTTACCTTTGGAGTCAAATGCAAAAGGACACTCCTGAGACTGATGTTGAGAAGCTTACTGTCTATGTTTTCTTCTACGTGTTTTATGGTTTCAGTCCTTATATTAAATACTTTAATCTATTTTGCATTTTTTAAAGATTTTACATATTTATTTTTAGAGAGAGGGGAAGGGAGGGAAGAAGAGAGGAAGAGAAACATCAATGTGTGGTTACTTCTCGTGTGCCCCTCACAGGGGACCCGGCCCACAGCCCAGGCATGTGCCCTAACTAGGAATCCTTTGGTTTGCAGGCCAGCACTCAATCCACTGAGCTATAGAAGCCAGGGGTGTTCCGAATATTTTTTTAGTGTGTGTATGGTGTAAGATAGTGGTCCAGGTTTATTCTCTACCATGTGGCTGTCTAGTGTTCTCCACGCCATTTATCCTTTCCTCATTGTACATTCTGGGCTCCTTTGTTGTAAATCAGTTGAACATATATATATGGTTTTATTTCTGAACTCTATTCCATTGCATTAATCTATGGGTTTGTTTTTTGTTTTTCTTAGCCTCATCCAAGCACATGCTTATTCATTTTAGGGAGGGAGGGAAGGGGAAAAGAAAGAGAGAGACAGAGAGAGAAACATTGATTGGTTGCCTCTTGTATGCACCCTGACCAGTGACCAAACCTGCAACCCAAGCATGTGCCCTGACTGGGAATGGAACCTGCACACTTACAGTTTACAAGATGATGCTCCAACCAACTGAGCCGCACCAGCCAGGGCCTATTTTAATGTTAGTGCCATACTGTTTTGATTACTATTGCTTCATGATAAAGTTTGAAATCAAGAAGTGAGATAACTCCTGCTTTGTTTTGCTTTCTGCATATTGCTTTGACCATTGGGGGTGTTTTGTTGTTTCATAAAAATCTTAGCATTTTCTTCTCTTTCTGTGAAAAATGCCATTGAATTGTTGCTGAGAATTGCATGGAGTCTGTAGATTGTTTTGGCAGTAGGGATATTTTCACAATATTTATTTTTTCCATCTATGAGAATGGATTATCTTTTTATTTTTGTCTTCAATTTCTTTCAGTAATGTCTTATAGTTTTTAGTGTATATGCCTTTTACCTCAATTAATTTTATTCCTAGATGGTTTATTATTTTTAATGCTAGATGTTTATTATTTATTGCTAGATGTTTTATTTTGTAAATGGTATTATTCTATTATTTTCTCTCCCTGATATATCATTATTACTGTATAGAAACAGCAGATTTTTGTATATTGATTTTGTTTTCTGCAACATTATTAAATTTGATCATTTGTTCTAAAAGTTTTGCACATAGTTTTTAGGAATTTTTTATTATAATTTGTTACTAACACATAATTGACATAATATCCTATTTGTTTCAGGTATACATCATAGTGATTGATATTTATGTACATTCTGTAATGATCCCCATGGTAAGTCTAACTACATTTTCTAACCATATAAAATTACTATAGTATTATTGACTATATTCCTTTATGCTGTACTTTCAATTTCCATGATTTATTTATTTTATAACTGGTAGTTTGTACCTTTTAGTCTCTTCACCTATTTCACTCATTCCCCATACTCTCTCCTCTCTGATAGCCACCAGTTTGTTTCTCTGTATCTGGGAGGATATTTCTGGTTTTTAAAAATCATATGGTATTTGTCTTTCTCTGTCTGACTTCACTTAGTTTAATACCCTCTGGGTCCATCCATGATATCACAAATGGTAAGACTTCATTATTTACATGGTTAAGTAATATTTCATTTAATATATGTATCTTCTTTATCCATTAGTCTACTGATGGACACTTAGGATGCCTCTATATCTTTATAATTGTAAATGATGTTGTAATGAAAATAGGGGTACATATAGTTCTCTGAATTAGTGGTTTTGTTTTCTTTGCAATAAATACCCAGAAATGGAATTGGTGGGTTGTATAGGGGTTTTATTTTTAATTTTGGGGGACTCTCCATACTGTTTTCCGCAGTGGCTGAACCATTTTACATTCTCACCAACAGTGTACAAGGGTTCCCTTTTTACCATGTCATTGCCAATACTGGTTGTCTTTTTGATAAGGAGCTAGTCTGACAGATTAGAAGTGATCGTTCATTGTGGTTTTCATTTTCATTTATCTGATGATTGGTAATGTTGAGCATCTTTTCATGTGCCTGTTGGCCATTTGTATGTCTTTTCAGGAAAAGTATCTATTGAAATACTCTGAGCTTTTTTTAAGTGTTTTTTTTTTATATTAAGTTGTATAAGTTCCTTATATGTTTTGGATATTAACCCCTTATAGGATATATGGTTTCCAAATGTATTGTACCATTCAGTAGGTTTCTTTTTTATTCTGTTGGTTGTCTACTATACAAAAGGTTTTTATTTTTATGTAATCTCATTTGTTTATTTTTGCTATTGTTACCCTTGTCTAATCAGACGAGTCCGTAAATATTACTATGACCAGTGTCAAATAGCATATTGTCTACAGTTTTTCAGGGAGTTTCATGGTTTCAGGTCTTGCATAAAAGTCTTTATTTCAAATTTGTTTTCATATATGGTGTAATAGTCTAGTTTTCTTTTTTGCATGTATTGGTCCAGTTTTCCTAACTATATTTATTGAAGAGACTGTTTTTCTCCAGTGTACATTCTTGCCTCTTTTGTTACACATTAAATGACCCATATGTATGGGTTTATTTGGGGGTTCTCAATTCTATTTCATTGTTCTATATGTCTTTTTTCATGCCACTAACATACTATTTTGATTATTGTATCTTTGTAGTATAGTCTGATATCAGGGATTGTGCTATCCCCAGCTTTGTTCTTTCTTTTTTCCCCCCTCAGGATTTCTTTGGTATTTGGGGGTTTTTGTAGTTCAATATAAGTTTTAGGAATCTTTGTTCTAGATCTGCGAAAAATACCATTGGTGTTTTCATGGAGATTGCATTAAATC